AGTATTAATTATTCTGGCTGTCAAACGTGGGAGATATAAACAGGGAAATATTCACATAAAATCGGTCGCCGGTAGGAATTCGTCTCGGATGCCTCCCACATGAGAAAACTTCCTTACTCAATAACTACGTCACAAATCCTAGCATTTAAATATAGTCTACTCCGTTTTCCTCCTATTTAGACTGCATATATGTAGCTTATACAGAGATACTGAATATCCACAAGGGTTTATATAATTGATTTAGAACTATTAACACGGTTCTAAAGCACTGACTACATATCGCGTTTTTAATTAATGACATGTCTTCCATATTCATGCAGAATTCTAGAGCACGTTTCAAATTGGACTCCCTGGAATTACCGGAACAGCATGTAACTTAATAAATTTACGGTGTGAGATAGAAAAGCGAAAATGGCGTATATTCCTTCTTCGACTCCACGGTGGTCCAGCGGTTAGAACGCCGGGTTGTAATCCTGGGGTCTCGGGTTCGATTCCCGGCGGTGCCCGAATTTATAACTTGTGTTGGGCAAGGCCGTGATCTAGGCAACACGGAGTTTTCCTCCGTGGCATCCCAACAATTACTCCATTCACACACAGAAGAAGGCAATGGCAAACCACTTCTGGATCATCTGCCAAGAACGTATATGAACAGGTCCCAGGCCGAGAAGAGAAAAGGATGGAAGGATCCTGTTCATATGGACATGTCGTCAGACAGAACAACTTCTGGATTATCTGCCAAGAACGTATATGAACAGGTCCCAGTCCGAGAAAAGGATGGAAGGATCCTGTTCATATGGACCTGTCCTCAGACAGAACACTAAATATAAAATAAATTCTTTCTTCGTACAAAGAATACGAAGTGAAAATATGAGGTCCAGTAAGTCATCGTGAGGACACACATTTCGACTTCGAAACTCCTCACGGTATAAAGTATTCGCTGAATGTTGTACGGGGAATTAAATTCAGTTCTGTATTGGTCCAAAATATAAGCTAACCAGCATCACCTTACAATATTAAACCGAAGTTCAGATCTCAAAAACCGACTCTCGTATAAGAAAACTGTACATGACAAAATGCTTCAAATGTGTTTAGATGTGGTTTATATATGACGAACTTTTATCTTGAGAAGCCAAGACTTGTTCAGCTAGTGAGAAAATGTCTCGCCCTTTACGAAACCCGAAGATTCATCACTGCTATCCCGAGCCAGATTAATCCAGTCAATGTCCTCGCTACCTATTAAAACTGGTTGTCCATCCCCCAGATGATAATGGAAAAGTTGTGAAATGATACTACCAGGATAAAAACGAAGGCCTCGAGGGAACAAGCTCTCCCGTGCGACTCTGTCCACCACAAGTCCCATGCGAAATGACACGGAAGGTAACCCAGTCCTCCGCAATAAGAATCCAGGGATCAGGCCTAACCACCTGAGCTACCGCTCCCTTGATAAATAAGAAACTCACAATACGGCGCATATAACTATGCACTGAAGCAACCATGCTGCATGTCACGGACGTTTCGGCAGGTCACAATACATCCTCCACACGTCACACAGACATGGTGATCGTAAAAATATGGCCGAAAGATATTTTCTGAAATATGGAACATGAACGGTCAGAAACGAAGTTAGACTTTATTAGTTTGTTAACGACTTAGTTCAAAATTATAAGTTATACAGACTACAATTGGATAGGAAGACACTTATGAACGACGGGTATTTCCAAGGCTTTACAGTCAGGCGAGATGTACAAACACGCGACACTGAAATGTCAGTAGACAAACAGACACGCTAATAGACCAGACACGGCCGTCATATTTCCATGTCTTATTAGCATTTAATATAAGCCATGTCAACTGAGGCAGTTTATTGGAGTACAGGCCCCTCGATCCGGGGAGCAACACCAGTTGCTTGCTGTCAATCAAACAGTTCCCCTGTCAAATTTGTGCAGCGATGCACAAATTTGTAATAAAACCCGGGCAGCCGCATTTATTACACGCAAGCAAATTTAAACTCAAAATCATGATCTGGCCGCAAACCCCGTTTATTAATTAACGTAGATCAGTATTAAACATGACACACTTACACAGTAGACAAACCCTCGTTCAAAGCTGGGGATACGTTCCTCGAAAGCAGCGCGTTCTGTAAATCCGCGTTATGCTAACTCAGTACTGTATGGAATTTACGGGGATACGTGAACGCTTCCGTGGAAAGTCAGATTAAATATAAAAAAAAATCATAAAAATACTGCAATGATATTTATGAACAAATTATAATTCAATGAACTCTACAGAACAGCGGCTGTGATTCGGGCTGGAGTTCGATTGACTGGAATTCAATTACGTGCGAGTGCTCGGTGGCGACTCGAATTCGAGCTGCGAGTTCAGTATCGATGGCGCCAGCTCGAATGTAGCGTTCATTAAAATGTACAGTGAAAATAAAAATAAGATCATTTGTGCATAAGGTGTCATAGTTGTGAGTAAATCATTAGGTTTAGAGTTATTTAAACTTACAATGAAAGTGAAACATGTTGACGAATGCCACCAAGTCATTCCTCCACATTTTTGTCTATGTTTCTGTAAGCAATTTCACGAGCAACCATTTGTCTGTACATAATATGTCCAATTCCATAAGTACTTGTGGGAACAGTGTAATTCTATAAACTTTACGTTGTCCGCTAGAGAAAATCTTGACATTTCAAAACATTTTTCCCCTCTAATTACACTTCCTGGAGATCGAGCAGTTTGTAGTCTCCATTGATTAATACTCGTTTTCCAGGTAAAACTGAATGCGAGTCCGACCTATCGAAAACCAGCCTTTATATTCCCAAGTCTCAGTTTGCCCCTTCATTTCAGAGATTTCAAAAACATATTTTTAATCAAATGTGACTTAATTACTCAGGATATTTTGGTGTACGAGTTCAGTGTTATTGACATCCTCAAAGTTCAGTGTTCGATTCCCGAGTCAGCTATCTTTCATTATTGAGGTAGAGTACTTGAAAATAAAGAGAGTTCTTACCGTGACTGTACATGGAGTGCGTGTCAGTCGGCGGAGGGTAAGGGTTATGCACGTCCAGACCCTCCATCTTAAGTTCCTCGTGGCCGATACGAGGCATTGTGGTTCGCCGTCGCACACTATCAAAGCAGAATCATCGTCAGGTCTGTAACTGCATGTGTACTAACCACAGCACTGACATGCGTGCCGATAGCAGAGACAGCTATGTGACCCGCGCAACACCAAACGCTCGATATTAACTGACTAGTGCTGCCATCTAGATCACATGGTCCTGTTACGTCACACACTCCATTTCCCCATCAAGAAATTTCCTATCACCTATGAACAGATTCCTCTCACACTCTTCATACAAAACACAAGCAGTTGGGACGAGTGGAGTCAGCAGACCTACGCAGGAAAAAATATTCCCGAACTCACCAAGAAGCCAGAGTCCGCTAAGTTTCTTCCGTGAGGAGTTGATAGGTATTCAACTACTTCACAAAAAGAGAGGTTAAGATTTTCAGAAAAACTGGTGGTGAAACGTCTTTGAAAGCAACAACCTGTTGCACTTGAAGATAATTCCTGGTGTCGGAAAGCGATGTACTATAAGACCAATTATGTGGACGGTGCCAGACGGACAGCAAAGTAGATCTTTCGCCAGAATGAGACCTTGATCTTTTGAATTGGGGTCAGGATGTCAGATCTGGCTGTGCTCAACGACTGCTTGGGGGGAAGGAGTATCTTTCACATATCTGTCCGGGTGATAACGTCATGATACATACGATTCTCTCACGTGACTGGGCAGCTGGCTGCGGCTTACTCTGGTAACCAAGGTAACCATTCTAACGAGAGTACCCATGACAAGCTAAGCAGCCTGTGCAATCCCCTCTAAGTCATTTTCGCAGGCCAAAACACATTCGTATAAAGCGCCCGTTATTGGTGACCGATTTTAACCAAAATTGGAATGTGCCAAAGAATTTTAGTAAAATTCCCCAATGTAATAAGAATCCGTTCGACCGTTCTCGAGGTGAATGGAGCGATTTTATTAGGCGCTCCGAAGGGTTGCGAACATGCCTAAATAGTTCTCGAAAGAATAAATGTCTTCTAATAGGTCTGTCAGTGTGTTAACTAGTCAAACTTGCCAGACGTTTGCTATGAAAAATCTGCGAGGCCCACAAGGGCAGTCGAGGTGTGGTGCTGTGAATACGTCTTTCGAAAACTAAGAAAATGCATGGATCTCTCCTCACCTGTGTTGGCGTGTCCCAGTAACACAAAGGATCCTTCACTTTCTTTGGTGACCTAAAGTCAATTTGGAGTCTTTCTTTGGTATTTCGAAAGAAGGCCTGTCATATAAAGTTAATGAGAAATATAACTTAACCTTAACTTACATTTACTCACAGCTGAAAAATTACATAATCTAAACGATCTATCAAACTACACGACACAACAACCCAGAAGACAGCCATATTCATTTCTAAGTTCTGTCTCTCCATTTTGTTAAGACCAGTCTTATTACAAATGATAATAATTATAATTTAATAAGAAAAGTAACAGAAAATTAACAGATACATGCAAGTACACAAACATGCAAGCATGCATTTATGTAGTTTACTGACGTTTCAGAGGTGCTTGCTGCCTCCATGATCAGGGCGAGACGTCGGTAAACTTCTACCAGACTACACAGCGCAACAACCCAGAAGACAGAAATCTTCTTACTCACCGATGAGAAAACCTCAAAATCCTACATACATTTACGTGCATACGTAAACAGGAGCTAGGACGCAATGAAACAACAGTAATAAATAGTTAATTAAGCAGTGGCATGCGAAAACACTAGTCACTGAAAGATGTTTGCTCTAACGAATAAAACAAAAGTTTTTTTGCTAGCCAAAATACACAGAATTTTCCTAAAATATTCCGATCACCACTGTTACCTTAACCCAACAACTCTGTAATGCATCTAAATTTCTACAGAGCTTCTACACTACAGACATCGATATGTTATACTCACAGACAGAATCCCCCGGTTGGGCTGCAAGAACCATCAGATTATACGATTAACCCTTTGAATCCAAGCTCGTCTAAATAATATTTAAATATCCAGTTCTTACCGCAAAGAAAACACAACATTTCACCATTACAAAGATCAACTTGTAATCGCTGTTTAAGTAAATAATCTGATAATCCTATAAAATCCACAGATACATTCTGTGGACAAAATGCAAAGTTATAGGCTGTTAAATCAGGTTTTGCAATGGACTCTAAAGGATTAAGTTGGCCATTAGAGAATTCCTCCAAGCTACGAAACCCCCACAATGTTTATGTTGTCGAACCTTCTGAGAGAATGACATCTTCAAGGCGAACAGAAGATGATGAATGTCAGGTTCTGACACATGATCCAAAATTGGAAGGCTGAATCTTAATTCGTTCTGGAATTGTAACCATATTGATTTTATAACCCTATCACAAACGATAATGTAACATCTCACGTAGATCAATTATGAACAAAAAAGAAGCCGGACTTCTGATAAATTCTGTTTCAATTATCGTAAAAAATAAAGCATCTGATTTAAAAGTAAACACAAGCAAAATCTCTAAACACAATTACTGTTTTTTGGTAAGTGGGAATATGCCTTCTGATGTTGATAACGACCCTTGGAAGTCCCATTTAAAATCTAACTGAAGTAACATTTGGCTGTTAATATGATGAACCTGCCTCCAGTAAAATACTCTCATATCTCAGTGAAATAAAAGCTGTTAGAAGAAATTGAACGAAACGAAATCAATACACGGACTATGGACGAAATGGAGGGTCGCTGACTGTTTCTGTAGGTACAAATTATCTTTTTCTAAGAGTGATTGTGCTCATTACAATAATTCACAAATATTCATACAAAGTGACGTACAAAATAATTGGTTGTGAGGCTGATCCACAATAAAGGGTCATACGAGGTGCGATCGGAAAGTTTCCAGACTGTGTCAATAGAGGGCGAACCGGATGTAGTACGAGCTTCTGCCGCTAGGGGGTGCGGCCTACATTCATAGTGAATCAGTGTGCCAGCCGGCATCATCGAATTAGCATTTGTTTCTTAGTTACGGGCGTTTTGGTAGTGCATTACACCGACCCTCCTGCGATTTCGGAATGGCGTGTGCATCAAATGTTGCCAAAG